CCCTGATGACGGAGGCAGTGTGACCTCTGAAACGTTGGTTAACATCGACCAGACTACACAGCGCAACAAACCAGACGACAGAAATCTTCATATTTTTAATTTCCCTGATGACGGAGGCAGTGTGACCTCTGAAACGTTGGTAAACATCGACCAGACTACACAGCGCAACAACCCAGAAGACAGAAATCTTCATAATTCAAATTGTGTTACAGATGGACTTTTTTCATATATGTATGCTTATGAAAGACCACTGCAGAGAGAAATTGGAAGAAGTTGTACAAAAAAAAGCCTTTTTTGCTGTTGCTAAATAAACTTTGAAGTTTCTAATACGTTGTAAAGTAAAACTGTTCAAACTAAGTTGGAAATATCACAGTGAAAATTGGTTCTTATAAACATGAAATAATTGTAATGGAGGTCAAACTAAAGAGTTCCATTGTAAGTTATTTATTTCGGCAGAAGGAGATGTATACCTGAGACAGATGCTTGGCGAATTCTTCACAACATTAGCGTTTGGCAATCAGTATGGACAAGAAACACTGGAGCAAGCGTTCTTACCAACACTTCGAACATTATTTCAAGCTCCGTGTACCAGTCCTTTGGTGGAGGTTGACCAAGACAGTGTCGTCCGTTTAGTGTTGAATCTCACCCGACCTAATCTTAACAAGGTATGGAGATAACTGTTTGTACAAGTAATTGTTACCCTGCTTTCACCAATGTCGTCCAGTCATATTCAGACATTTAATTAATATACTTTCTCTTAAAGAAATGATTTGTGTGTTCTGATTTTGCTTTTCAGAGCAGCGTACATAACAACTTCGCTATTGTCCTTTGCAATGAAGTGCTGCTGGATACAGACCCATACAATATTCAGGTACTTGTGAGAGCTCTCACTCAACTCGAACTCATCCTGGATGATGAAATTGTGCTTCAGAACATCAGCACAGTGGCAGAGAAAGTTGCTGAGGTAAGAATACTTTGTACTATATTAATGTCTGGGGAAGAATCACTTATGAATATTTTTTCTTTGGTATTTTTAAAGTGATTAAATTTTAAAGGATGAGATGGGTACAGCATGTAACATGCATGTGGGAGATAAAAAATTAATACAAAATGCTCGTAGTAAAACTTAAAGGACAGAGCTCGCTTCTGAGTCCTGTGTGGGAAGATAATATTTAAAAATTGTTTTTAGATGTGAGGGGTGTCGACTGGATTCGCTGGCACAGGATAAAGTCCAATGGCAGACTTTTCTGAATGTGGCAATGAATTTTCAGGTTTCATAAAAGCAGGGAATTTCATGATAAGTGTTCATGTCAAAACAGTGTATCAAAACCCTGTTAGCGTTAGCAAAATTTTCCGTTTTTTAGTTATAAGGCTCTTTACCATTTCCAGCTATGCGTTTCGTACGCAGGAATGGTGTTACCTAGCAAGGGACGATGCTTGCGCTTGCGCAGGACTCCACCCTTAGTTAGCTTTTTTGGTTGGCAGTGTATCAGATATCATACGCATTCATCCTTTTCTGTGTTCTTTTATTGTTATCATTTCATCTCTGTTCCTGAGTGTTGTATTTTAAGCACTTATTTTTTATTATATGAACTGGATTTCGGTTGTTATTCCACATCCTGATTAATATGGGATCCATGGAATGTCTCATTACTAATTTACAGGTAACTCCCTGCCTCATTTGATTGGTTGATTACAAGATTATTATTGACATGCTTTCTGGAAGTAACTGTTCTGTAATATATTTCACCATAACGTTCCACAGTTGAGCAGCTGTGAACACAGAACTATAGAAATGGAAGAATTTTGGTGAGTCATCCATATATCATTGTGCTTTATCACACTGTCTAGATTTTTTTCTTGTGTTTGTTGATATTGGACTGCATTTTTCAACTAAAATTAGTCATTATCATCATTTAATGAACCTGATGATGACTAATTTCAGTCAAAACATGTAGTCCAGCATCAGCGTGCACTTGAAAATAGTGTAAAGATTGTGATAAAGTAACAGTGGTAAAGCAAAACGATGTATAGGGAACCAACTTGTTTCAGATATTGAGCGTTTGGGTTTTTAATTTTCCACTTATATAAAGGTTTCTTTTGTGTATGAAAACCATTCTTTCCAAGATCTTAATTAGTTCTCTTCCTTATTTATATACTGATCACTTGTATTAGATATGTTGATGCAAGGACAATAGTATGATTCTGTTGATCATAAAAAGTAAAAATAAAGGTGGCAAGCAATCAGATCCACTAAAGAAAACGAAGATACACAAAACTGATTAGGGAAGGAGTAACAGATAAAGAAGGAGTGCTTATAGGAAAGTGGAAAAGAATGGAGATTATTTTGTCATAATGCATTTCTTCCTGATAGAAACATCGTTGGTTGATTATTATGATTGTAAATATTCTGTACCGGTAATTTCTTTTTGTATTTCAGCATGTTAAAGATAAGGCATGTCTCCGTTATGTACGGAAGTTCCAGAATATGCTTACTTCAAGTAAATTTAGCTTGACAACTTGTATGACTGGTACCGTGCGGACAACAGATGGTTCCTCTGTCCTCACAAATGTGGAACAGCAGGCTACTGATAGTGCTGAGGGAGTCAGTTGTGTGTCAAAGGTAACCTAATACTACAGATCATGAGGTTTTTTCAGCTTCTTTTGAGAGATCCTTTTTTATTTGTACACTAAAATCTTGGTATAATGAACATCATTATACTAAAATGTCAGTATACTGGGAACGACCCGTTCTTCAAGTGCCTGAGCACTGCAGGTCCCAACTTTTCGTTGGTTCGATCTATAGACATTCGGTAGGACTCCTTGGACGAGGGATCGGCCCGTCGCAAGGCCTCTACCTGTACACAGGACAGCACAACACAGAAAAACGCGGACAAACATCCATGGCTTGAGTGGGATTTGAACCCACGGTCCCAGCGACCAAGCGGCACGTGGTCCATGCCTCAGACCGCGCTGCCACTGCGAAACCCAAAATGTCAGTATAATGAAAATATTGTGTGTCCCCTACCAAAGTACCATATACTTCGTATATTTCTTACTGATTAATATTGGTATAACAGAATTTTAGTTTAATTCAGTATAAACCTGTTTAACATGTAAAATACCAGTATGTCATGTTGACTGGACATGCTTACAGCATGATTGTATATTCCTTTGTAGGACACCCTGGTAAATCCTGAACCTATAGAATCAGACAGCAGTGATTCTGACGAGAATTTACAGATCAATACTACTCCTTCCATTAGAAGTAAAATGGTGGTGCCAGAGACTCCTGATAACAGTGACTCTCCTGTTTCTGAGTAAGTGTAAGAAATTTGTTGCATTCTTTTAGTCTGTTGTCCTTATTTTACAAAGGAAACAAAAATTTATGGTATATCAGTCTGTGCATTCTTTGCCTCTCCCTATAACTTTTAAATCAATTTATAGGTTCATTAATCTTGATGTGATCATCATGTAAAATCTCTGTCCAGTCTTCTGTTTTTAAGGCAATAACTAATAAGCTATTGAAAATATGAATGTTTCGTATTTTATGATCAAAAACATGTGAAATTTTGAGTTTGAGCTGCACCATTTGTTGAAGTTCTTCCAACATTTTGAGCAAACATTGCAGAGTGAAGACGGAAATTGCAGTATTTATTGGATCATTGGAAGGATTTCAAATGACACAGCTTAAAGCTGAAAACAAGTCTCATACACAGGACATCGGACATAGAAACTTAAGGATGACAATAAATAAAAATTGTTTTGCAGGAATTGTCTTCAGCAACTTTGTCACACCAATAAATTTGATGTTTCTTCAGTCTTCTCTTTATTCATTGCTGTGCGGAAATAAGAAAGTTTCTATTTAACTAAGTCTGTTTTATATACTTGTTTGTTTTCATGGTTTGTCAAAGAAATTAACACTTCATACTTCCTTGCATTGTTTTCAGTACTTGTTCTGATGATGGTACAATCAAGAAAAGTGCAAATTCTGTTAAAACTTAAAATTAATCTTTACTTTTAAGGATGTCATCTGATACATACTCATCAGACATTGCCCAACTTGATGGTGAAGTTCCATCACAAATACCAAGTAGCAGGCCTGCACAGATGAGGCGCAGTGGTCGTTTGGCGAACAAGAATGTCCGGGAAAATAGTAACTGAAATGCAAGTAAAATTAATGCCATTGTTTTTAATTATTTTAATGCAATTTTTAAATGAATTTTGTGTATGTACTTTCAGTGAACAAATTAGCTCACAGAGACACTGTGGGAAAATAAAATTCCATCACAGTAGAACTTGGTGATGTATGGATGGACTGGACTTCTGTGCCAAAATGGAACTTGGTGATATATGGATGGACTGGACTTCTGTGCCAAAGGCCATAGGCTCAAAACCAACTGGAATCAATGCAGATTTTTTCATGCGTTTGATGTCATCCCTTGTTGCAGAGTTTAAAACTTTGTGAATGTAAGCAATACTAGGCCCCTGGGAAATACTATTCTAACATGAATTCATCTTATTGATGTTTAAGAACCACTCAAATTTCCTCTTTAACCTAATAATTAAAACTGTTTTTAAGCATGTTTGGTTGCCTTAATGGTGTTCAGAACTGTCGCATGACAACCAATTCAGAATCATCCTGCAGTTTTTGCCATAATTTATTGGTAACGGTATGGGATAAAAGGTTATAGGTGGCACCCAAAGGTGTTGATGACTACAGTAAATACAATTTCATTCTCATTACTGATCTAACTCTTTCAAAAAAGATTGATCATAATTAAATTAATCTTTTGTAAAATGTAAGAAACTGAGTTATTAGATGTTTGTTAGTTATAGGTACTACTTTGTATGTTCAATGTTAAATTTAATATAAAACTATGATATATTTTGTGTATTGATTTTATATTATTCTCTTCTTCCATTGATATAAAGTTCTTACAACTTTCTTCTCTATTTTCTTGCAGTCATGATTACATTTTACTTCATCTTAGTATTGGATTGAGTAACTTTTTCTGTTTTAGTGTTTGCATAATGTAAAATTTGGAAAATTTTATTTCCTCAAGGAAGAATCTTTATTTGCTTTGAACCCTTCATTCAGGTCTGTTGAAAAAAGTGACTAACTTCTTTGTACAGGTCCATTTATCTTTCATTATAATCTTTTGAACGGAGACATTTCCCTACTGGCCACTGCTTGAGCTGAATTGTTGCCGGTCAGACCAGCCGTTGTCTTCATATTTGAACTGAAACAAATTAGAATGTTGTGCATTATTTAGAGCAGTAGCAGACTGTTATAAGGGAACCAAATGCGCAAGTTGAGATCAAGGATCTGTCTATCACCTGTTTAAAATTGGTGTTTAATAGAGGAACAAGAAATTCTAAGAGAAATTATGGAACTTACTTTCATTCAGACACTTCACTCTGTTTGGTGAGGCTAGTAAGAAGTAAATAGCTTCCTTTACTTCTGTGTTTTGGGGAAAAATTAGTCAATGTATGAAACTTACTGCTAACCTTTATCTAGGGAATTTTCTGGACATTACAACAAAGAGAGAACTTCCTTGTCTTTGCTAGAAATCAAATGCTGGCCCAGTAAATGTGAAATAAACATACCGGAAATTCGTCAACAAGGCGTAGCACCCTGGCTGTTGTCAGTAAGTCTGGCAGTGAATGACTGTGCCGCCCAGTTGTCATGGCCATGTTGGTTCCTTGCAAATTCTGTATCATTTGCTGTGCAAGGAAATTACAACAGTAATGAAATTATCTGTCTTATGCTGTGCACTTCTGAATAAAAGACAGTGCATTCCTAAAGCTGTATTGAAAACTAGACCCTGCTTTCCCAGTGTTAACAATCCTGACCATGGGTTAATACATAATTTTTTTACAAAAAGGCAGTAAATATGTGACTATTTAATCAATGACAGACATGCATATATATATATATATATATATATATATATATATATATTGGGTTAAGTTGTAATATAACATTAGGAAATTGTCTGTATTGTGGGCTCCAAAGTCAGTCTAGATGTGCTGATGAAAAGTCCTTATTTTGCTGGGAATTAATCCCAGATTAAGCAGCTGCCATACCTGAACTAGTTTGATGAGGAACACTGCAAAAATGAGGAATGAAATTGACATTAGAGCCCCTTCCATGGATGGAAATGCCATTCCCTTCTCAGTGCGGGCTTGACGTTCATGATCACTTGTCCATAGAGCTTTGATATGTCCCTCTACAACAAACAAGTTGGGGCCAGTTTTACTGACTGCCTAATTTTCTTTTCTTCATTCTACAAGCCTTTGCTAGAACAGTAAAATTACTCTTCTGCAATAGTGGAACGAGAGCTTCTGACTCATTTCTCCTTAAATTAGCTTCATAGTAGATGTGCCTTATATCCAGAGTTTTCCTGACCTTCCATCTTGAAATATATCCCTTGAAAGTAATAAGTACCAGGAAGAAAATATGGCTGTACTAATGTTTGTTTGAAAATTTATTCCATGAACTCTATGTTAAAATGAATACTTTACCTATAAAGCAGAGCATTTTGTTCTTTAGTTGCTGGAGGAAATGCATTTTCCCTCTTACACTATGTGGCGTTTCTTGTATCAATTTTCTGTGCACTTCTCTCAACATGTTGAGCGGTGAATTGACATCTTGTGGTATATTCTCTTCATTTTTGTTATTGCTGTTGCTTGTTTCATGTTTCCATGATGCTTCTGGTTGTTTATCTGTACTTGAAACGTCTGGTTCAGTGCTAGTAATAATTCCTTCAGGATATTCATTATCTGCTTTTTCTGCTGGGTAAGGAGTTGTGTTAGTTTCAGATAATGTATTTGAGAATTTAGAGGAAGAATCTTTGATGTAAGAATGATGTTTAAGTGTCGCTGGATTAGGTAGTTTGACATCTGCCTCTATGGTTGTAACCTCCAAGTTGGGTCTTGGTGGTAAATTAGGTGTATGCAAGTTCACAGTTGTTAATTCTTTAAATTGTGGTATTTGAGTATTGCTTTCCTTTGCTTCCAAATCAGATTTAAATGGCATTTGATGGGATGGTTGAATAAATGTTACTTTTTCTGGCATTTGTGCTCCATAATTATTTTCTACTGAGTCATATATAGTTGGTTTGGAATTGTGAGATTTTGGTACTGGTGTAATTACAAGATCATCTTTGTTTAAGTTAAGTTCTGAATTATGTGCCTGTGTATCTGATTGATCATTTCCAGTATATTTAGTTATCTTGGTTGTAAATTGATCATTAAAGATATCTGATGTCTGTGCTGGAGGAAATTTATTTATGGGATTCATAGTCTCAGCTTTCATTTGAATTTCATCTGTTTTTTTGGCTTCAGATGTTTGGATCTGGAAATCATTTTCATTTTCACGTGGTCTTGGTTTAAATTGTATCCTTCCACCAGGCTCCACCATAGGTAGCTGTACCCAGTCTGTAGCCATGACCAACAGGAGCGTTTCTGTCACGATGACACTACACCAGACCTGTGCTAAGTAAGGTTTTAATTAATAAAACAAGTTATTGATCATGTTACTCATTGTGGCTAGGTTCAAGGAAAGATATAACTTATCTGTATGTGGTATCACTGCCCTAACTTGGTAATTAATAAATGTGGACCCCGTGATGAAACAATAAGAAAAGGTCATGTCAGGCGCTTTGTTATCTCATGTACTTCTTTTGCAACTGATTGTATTACATTGGTAGCCTTGATCGTGCTTCACTTATTGTCAAAGATCTTGAGATTCGTGCAATTACAAAAACATTTCCAAAATATGTTTACTCTAGCTGTGATAAAACTCCTGTGAAACATTTCTGTTTTGGTCTCTCTCTTTTATTTTTATATATATATATAGACTGTCTAATGTAAATTCATAAAAATCCAGGAAAAGTGACAGGCTCAACTTTGGCTGTGCAATCACATTCTTTTTGTCTTCTGAATGTTTAATGATAGAAAAGAAAGTTTCAGATCAGAAATATTAATTGCAGGAGTTAATTACATTTCTTTGTAGCTCTAAAGTGAATCAAACCAATTGTGATTGATTTTAATACTTGTTTACTACCTGATACTGAGTCCTAGTAACAGTATAGAGAATCATGAATTATGTTTCTTTATATCCAAGCTATTTAAAATGTTATAAATTGTAATGAAATGTATATTTTATGTTGTTCTGTATGATGAGCCATTCTTGAGAAAATTGGTACACTTCAATTTGATCTTTTTGTGAAATGGGGGTTATACTGTGAAACCTGTTTATGGTGATAAATTATGGAGAAACAATTTACTTTTGTCAGTTTTACATTCCAGTGTACCATAGAAATGAGTTGGTTCAACATATATGACCTCCCGAAGTGAGATGTGTTAATTATCCGTATACTATAAGCTTCTCTGCATATCACAAGGAAACTTACCTGTGTGTACATTACTACAGCCCGTGTTGTAGGTGTAGCACTCACTAATGACCTCTTCATTTCACACTAAAGAATGCTGATGTCTGGTTCCCTGTGACAAGTAAGAGCAATTATTTCCAGTAGGTGTCTTAGGCAGTTCAGTCAACCTGTGTCTATGCTGCGGAACCAGTGTCACATACATTAATCATATAACTGCCCACTTCCTCTGTATGATCACTTGAACTTAACATCCAAACACTACATTATACTTTTGGTATATCAGAATTGGCAACCTTGTATCTCTAGGTTACACACAAAATATCTAAAAGAACAAAATTTTAGACAAGGGTATTATTTTCCACAAGTTTCATCCTTACAGAGTGAATATTACATTTTTCTTTCCTCTTCTCATAGAAAATAGAGACTATGCTCTCCACTTTCAAAGTTCCATAAGATTTTTATGAGAAAAATGTTTCCTTATCTGTGCTGAAATCCACATAGGTCACAAAAATTTAGTATTAGAGAATCAGGCCTGATATTGAAGGACTAGAGGCTACATTCAGTTTTTATCCCAAATACGTGCGCGGAATCTAATATGGACACCAAGGAACCAAGACTTAAACACAATCTGGGGCCCATAGGAATTGTCAGCAGAATGTGATGAGGGTATCAAGGGATGAGAGGTAGAAATGAATTTTGGATTCCAAACCTGTTGCCAGTATAAACTTAAATAGACATAGTGGCCAGGATTTAAGATGCAGTGGACTTGCTGCTGATAAATATAACACATATTAGCCACTCCTTCAAAATTACTTTTTTTAATTGAATGGAAATACGTGTCCCCTCTTCTTGCTATTATTGTACTTAATATTATTCTGCTCCTTTACTAAAATCTGCAGCATATTAAAATATGGCTTGCTTGTTGCTTTCTAGTTCAGACTTGTAGTAGCTAAGAAGCCACATTTCTGTCACTGAGAATATGAACATGCACATACACGTGCGTGTGCACACCTTTCCTCTCAGTGATTGGGTCTTCGAAGCTCATTCTGAGGTTCAAAATTTAAGCTGGTCTCGGTCTTCTGAACAGTTCTTTAAGTACAAATTACGACCTATGTTCTTTGCCTATTTGTTACCTGCACAAACTATCATAAAGAGTACCTACTCCAGTCCGAAAGAAATTACAGCCATGACACAAAATGATCAGGAAATGTTGGGGAGAAAAATAAGATACCCAAGTTCATTCAGGTTTTAGTTTTTATTATGCAGCTTGCTTTTACATGACATATAGTTGCAATATTGTCAATGGTGGAGGGAATGTTTACATCATTGGCACATCTATAACATTTTAAACATAATTATGTATACATATACTATGTGTCTACAACCATACATTTCTACAGGTGTGGACTTACTCATTTGAAGCAAACAAATGATTTGAATGAACTGTTACAAGATACTTGTCATAAATTATTTTTTGACAGGGATTTAACATACTTTGCTTACTAATCAGTACATAACAACGTGCATGTAACATACTGAATGTCAAAATTAGTTGAATTGTTAAGAGAAAGACAAATCTGAAACTTCTTAAATAGTAATGCTTTTACATGTTAAAATGGTTACAATAATACTTGGCAAAATTATAGTTGTGAAGTTATATATCTGCTACAGCAGGTTCTACAATGTAATAGGCATTGTATATCTCAATATAAAACTATGGAATACATATGTCAAGACTAGACATGAATACATGATGTATTAATACGAAATGCAAAGGCAAAACCCTTTCTCTTGACTGCCTATTTTAATAAGAGATATTTGTCGGTTTGATTACATAATACTTATTTAAAAATAATTTAAGTGTCTGAGAAAAAGTATAGACATAAAAAATTGTGCATACCAGCAAAAATAATTTTCATAACTATAAAGTAACCTCAATACTGATGATAAAATACACATTTATGTTCATAGTAAACAATTATTTTTTCACTTGGCATGTTACCAAGACAACAGATTAGTAATACTTTCTAAAACACTGATATATCACTCAAGAGTCTCCATGAGACAGAAAAACAGGAATTACTCAGCTGTCAAAACCCACAGTTTCATTATTGCATTCATAAACACACACAGTTGGAACCTATCCTGAGCCAGATGAATACAGTAAGATCCATCGTATTATTATCATCTCATCTAGACCTAGGTCTTCCAAGTGGTCTGACTAACTTTATTTTGCGTTCCTCATCATGTCTCATATAACTAATATTAAAATTTGTTATATATTTCACAATTTCAGAGTCAAAACATGTAATTCTAAAACTGAATGATAAAAGTACACTAAAATATATTTCTTTAATGGTGGTCTACTGGATTGTTGTACTGTCTAGTATTTTGGTTATATTATATACCAGATGGCTTCTTTGCCTCTGTGGTTGGGACTGTCAGTGCAAACAACAAAGGTAAAGAAGCCAACAAATTTTCATGTGAACATACTGTTTCCATCTTCTACACAACCACCAAGAAGACCATATAAATACATAAAATGTTTTACAAAATAAAAAGTACATATTGGAAATTCAGTAACAATCCATTGGATGTATTTAGTATTGTGTACAGTGTAACAGTCACCCAGAAGAAACAAAGAAAGTTTAAAAATGTCATGGTATAAGATGAAAATAAATGCCACATTAAAAAAGGGCAAGACTAAATGAATTAATCTTATATAAGTACAATAAATAATGATACAATTGCAGAATGACAAGTGAAAGTGGGCATGTTAAATAATGTCATAACTAAATGTGTCGATTAAAGAATGAGCAGACGTAGAATGTCAAGATTACATGAGCAGTCTGATAAGTATATGAGCGAACTTGTAAGGATATTTAGTGGGTGTGCTAGCAATGCAGGACAGCCCTTCCTTATGTACAATCATTGTGTTGGTCGTCACATTTCATAGCCCTAGTGGCACATCCACTGAGTGTCCTCACAGTACATGAGCAGAGTAAGGAACATAGTGATTACATAAGATTCTTCTTTGTCTCCATAAGACAGTTCCACCTTATGTGGATTATCTGTTATTGAATAAGAATATTATGCCTAAATGAGCAGAATAGATTTCTCCTGTGCAAAAAAAATTCTCTACACTTGCATGTGACCATGTTCAGATTTTGTGAAGTGGTTAAGGTGGCCAGGTAAGGGACACAGTACAGCTGTGTTACACAGGTGAATTGATGGCTTACATGTACAATTTTCTTATATTTGTACGCAACAATAGTATCCAAGTGAGATGACGGTTAATGGGTACATGTTGAAATGTATGACATGAGCATAATTAATGTTACTTAAAATGAGCATGTTAGAAATGTAATGTTTAATGAGCAGTGTAATATCACTAAGAATGAGCAATCTGAAGAATGTTCTGATAAAAGTTGATCAGAATATACAGTCAAGTGAGATGAGAATGTAAAAATGAAGTAATGAGACTAAAAGGCAGGAAAAGTGGTAACTTGGGTGATGAATACATTTTATGGGACAAGTATTATATCTGTCTATAACAGAGTTAAATTAAGTTATCACATGAAACTTTGCTTTGTAAGTAGTGCGTTATGCAAACAGATTTGCAATTGAATGTAAAAGGGTTTCCCTGAAAGCAGTGGCTCCAATTGTGTTTTTCTATTTATAGTCCAAGTCCAACTATATGATTTTGAAATGTTATTAATTTAAAGTTTTCTTTGAACCCATTGTGACTTCACAGTAGATAATTTTTCCAAAATACATGAGGCACTACTTTTGGGATACTCTTTACATGTAATCACACAGTGAAAAATGTGAATATGGAGTTTCTATTACAAACTACAGTGAAGAACAATGTATTTTATTCTAGCTTGTTGTAAGTTCTCGTTTAGTTTGGTGATCATGTGAATCTGATGCTGTTCGCAGGTGTATTTCTGCTTGTGAGAGTTCAGGTTCTCATTACAGGAAGTATTAAGCTGTCATTAGGGGTGTTGCACCATGTAGTCTGATAGAAATTGACTTGATAACTCAGAGGTTCCTGCACTGGTGATGAAGACATTAATCATCTCTGAAATGTCAGTTTCTATGAGACTCAGGTGCAATGTCCCAGTAGACGGTCATCTTTGTGTTCCATTTGGTTGTGTTATAGATGAATGGAACACAGATATTGAAAACTGACAAAGAAACTTTAGTTTTGGAGTGCATATAGAAAGCTGACATAAATCTATGGATTCAAGCTTGACTTCCTTTAGGTCTGATGTTACTGTGACCAAGTATGTCTTCACAACCACGTTCAATACTGTCTTGGCTACATGACAAATGCTGCAACATTACAAACACATTAATCTTGAATGAGATGAGGGTTTGATTATGGTGGGCATAATGCAAGATTAGTTATTGTCCGCGAGCCACGAGAGTAGACCTGACATATTTGAGGGAGGTGGGGGTATAATTCTGTGCTACTAGCGGACAGAAAAACACCCGCAGCTTATGCAGGCCATACGTCGTGAGCTAGCGTACTGACTGATAACATAATGTTCTTAGGTAAGGAATACAGCACCAGCGCATGCGCAGAACCCACTTTCCCCCTGCCACACAAGCAACGGCTGACAAGGCCACGTCTGCTCTCGTGGACAATAGTGGGTTTAAAGTGAACTGAACTGATTATTCATTAATGTCAATATTTAAAATTAACCATCAGATCCAAATGTAAACAAAAATTGAGCATAACTCTACTATGCCTATTGCAGTGTCATAATAATATTGATTGTACCCACTGCACTTAAATATGAACATGTGTTATTTTATTAAGTGGCTATTAGATTTCAGTTGTATTTCTTATGTCATATTCAGTAGCTGAAATTAATGTTTCAGGTCTACCACCATTATTTTCAAACAGTGACAAAAATCTCCCATTAATTTTCTTACTGCTTTAAAGTTCAGAGTTGGGCTAAAAGGGGGGGAAAGCTGAGTGAACACAATAAAAAATTTGAGGTTCCCATAATGATGAAAATATGGGTGGGAGTCTTCTTGGTTGTGGCAACCATGGAAGAAAACACTCCACAGGGTTAAAATAGTACTAAGAAGCAAAGGAGATTTTACCTGTTCTTGTACTGGTGTAGGAGCTAGAATTGAAATTTCAATAAGCTGAAAATCTGGTGCACAGAAGCAACGCATTAGCAATACTATTACACTCATTGACCAGCCAGCCACATTTATCCATGCTGATATCTATAAGCAACAAAAGAGAACATTATATATTACTGAGCAGGAACAAGCCTATATTGTGACAAAGTTTCAATTATATTCAATATGTTGCATTTGCTGACCTGGGCAGCCTTCATGTACTGGTATGTCATCAGACCTGTATTGCCTTCCAGCAGTTGATATCTGGTAAGATCATGACAGCTGAAAAATATAAGACATCAAAATGTCTGGCTCTGTCTGCAGTTATATTCATTTATCAAAATAAGAACGTGGACTGAAAGCAAAATAGTAAATACATAACATTCATTTATTTATGCTGTGGACTTAACCATGTTAAAAAACAGTTATAAAAAGCTGTATGTTTTGATATGCACACAGCATCATACTTTGTTTCACCCATATCATCCTGAAAGAAGTTGCAAAAGACATTGATGCCATCTTGTAATTTACATGCTGCGGCCAGGGCAAGTCCAAGAAAAGTGATGTTGAAAATCAGAGATGGAAGTACAATTCTCCATGGTTGAGACAATCTGAAAGAGGAGTTTTGGTTCATTATAAGCATGACATTTATATAAGATATGTCCTGTGCCTCTGCAGAAGAATGTTAGTCTTTAAAGAAAACTAAAAGACAGCCGTGTTATGACAAACACTGTTAAAATCTTACCCTCGAGTTGTTTTGCCTCCTTTTCCACACATCAAAAAGAACGTTATCCATACGATTGAAAATATTACTGAACAAACAGGCACATACTGACAAAATGAGCAGTCACTTTGCCTTCCCCATTCTGTCTTGACACAATCAATAGTTTGGTATGATGTTGAATTGTCAGTTTTTCCACTAACGAAGGTAACATTACTGTGCAAGACACAGTTCCCACCAAAACTCACAAGTACCAGACTAAAAGCTGAACTTGCAGTAATTCCACTTAGAGCAATGACAACATAAAAAAATATATGAAATGTCTTCCACGCATAAGAAACCAGCTGTGACTCTTTCTCGTACAGTTGCAAGTACTGTTCAAGTACTACCATTTTTGATCAAAAGTAACACATTTTAAGTTCTCACCAATCTCCACAAAACATTCTGCCGACTGCACTGTGTAATGTTTGTTTAAAAAGATGATGTCAGTCGAATTCTCTTTTTTTAAATCGTGATTTTGTATTAATATTTCAGCCAGTTTTGTCGTATTTGGAATGTGAAATAGCTTTGGAATTTTACAGCATTAAAACCGGGCGTATCAGTAGCATTCATGTATCGCTATCTATATGTGAAATAAGTTCTGTATTTGTATTATGATATGTTCTACTACCTTTGGTTTATGGAATGTAAATAAACTCATACTCTTAATGGCGGTCAGTGCTTGCATGTAACAAAGTAATCTTACCAAAATCATGCACGTTGGTATAAACTGTGGGCAGTACGTCGGTTTCGTGCCACCCTTGCCAGTTATATACTCACTGTTCACATGATTCGCAATACCATGATCGTGACACTGACCTAATGCCCAACATTCGAAGGATGTACAATCAAAAGATGAACTAAGGACTGAATTAACTCCAAAAACGTCTTTCAGATTTTGACACATTTTTATTGGTTCCGAAGCAATGAGCCGATCTGAGTGTCTGCAGTTTCTTGAATAGAATAAAATTTATTTACATTCCATAGACCCACCTCAGGCCGTAGCCAAGGATGCAGAACGTCATCGAACATTTATAATACAAATATAAAGTACATAGATATGACAGTGATTTGCAGTCTACTACAGTATTACAGCAAAAATAAAAACACAAGAAAGGATCATCACTTTTGCTCACATGTATTTGTAATAGCTGAGAAGTTTTGGTATTTTATTTTATGGAGCAGGAGTGGGATATGATGCCGATTTTAGTCTGTGGTGATGACTTATTTTTGTCATTGTGGTGTTGGTACGGTGAGAAGGGGTTTGACTTGGCGGTATTGAGAAAAGTTTGGTTGTTCTCGTGTAAGTAGTCACGTAATATTACATAATGAAGAGAATTGCAATTTTTGGTGCTACAGGAGGCGTTGGTTTGCATGTCACAGAAGTAGCTTTGAAAAGAGGTACGTCTGATATTCCAGTGTTGTTAAAAGGAACATATTTTTTATATGCTAACATAGTGTTATTGCAGGGAAATTCGAAGGATGCTTAGCGTCGTAATTGTGTCTGGCTTAGTTACCGAGCTACAGAAACCATCACCAGGATTCGAAACCCAGAACATATTTTCGTTATTTACTTTGTTTTCTGTAAACTACTAGCGTTTTAATCCCGTTTGTTTTAGAGAGACGTAATAATTTTCATCAGTACTTTCAGTGTTGAAGATCTACCCAATACCTCAGACATATTCTGTTACTATGGTTGACAAATGTATAGAGTGTCATTAAAATAATGGTTAGGAAAGTGGACTTATGTCTCGAAAAGGAAAGTAAGCATGGCCAAGTCTCATAACTGAAATCTGTACTGAGACCAGCATACTACATGTAGTCTCTCATACTCTCCTCATTTTGCATATAGGTATAAAAGATTTGTTCTTTGTCTAGGTTTGCATATAAAAGCTTTGCTGAGGGATCCCTCTAAACTACCAGAACACCTGCGAAGTAACATTGAAATAATACAAGGAGATGTAACAAATATCACAGATGTACAACAAACTGTGGAAGGACAAGATGCTGTTATAGTTACGTTGGGTACCCGCAATGATCTGAGTAAGTCGTTATTCACTGCAGTGAAGACTTTCATATAGTTTGGTTCTTTCATTTTGTCAGAGGTTTTCATCCTGTTGCCTCTAGTGAAGAAATTTGCAGTCATTTATTGAGACTGAAGGTTCATTATCTTGTTTGTAATAGCTTGCCACTGTATTCCATATCCTAAGGAGTTCCAAAGAATCTGACCATTTTGTAACCTGCTTATTTTTTTATAGTGGGAAGATAATTTTATGTGATGAATGAGTAGGAATGAGGAAGGAAGCAGTTGTGGCTTATTTTCAGTCACTAACCTTGTATGTGCCTGGAGTGACTGATGAAAACCGTAGAAAATCTAGGTCATTTTATCTGGCCTTTAGGCTGAGAATCAAACTTTTGAATATAAAGTAGGAGTGATAACCCTGAAACTGAAACATTCCAGTTTTAAGTACACATTATTTTTAATTTATGATTTACTTTATTTTATATTTCCATATTTTCAGGTCCTACCACAGTTTTATCAGAGGGTATGAAAAACATTATAGCAGCCATGAAGAAGAATGGAATAGAATGTGTTTCAGTCTGTTTATCAGGTATGGAATATACTCATGTATTGTGATTCATGTGCATTTTCAGCATTCTTGGTAAGTGGTTTGTGTGAATGTGGTTTTTCTTTTCCTTGCAGCATTCTTGTTCTATGCACCGGAGAAAGTCCCAACAAGATTCTCTGATTTAAATGCAGATCACCAACGCATGCTGGACTATCTTAAGGCCAGTGGTTTGAAATGGATTGCTATTCTGCCTCCACATTTAACAGGTGACAGCCAATACATACAAAGACCTTATAATATGGTAACTATTTACATATTCTTCCTTGGCATGTGTCACATTGTGATTTATAACCAGACTTAAGTTACACAACCGTGAACAGTGATAACTTGCATTATATGCATCACACAGTACATTTCAGCCAGTAATTAATATTAAATTATTAAAGCTTTGTTGGAAGTCATGATTTTTGCACCAATCTAACAGAGCATCAGTACTTACCATTGTGCCAACTTTTGATCATCCCGACATTGCTTAACATTTTGACATCTGGAGGCCCAGTCCTTTTTGGTACTCTAGAAGAATGTGTACTGCCTGATGAAATATATTTCCAGTATTTTTTGTTTCCATGCTAATGCTAATTTTTGAAGACTATGCCTATATTTGTGGAACATTTTGTTGAGGCATTATATAAGTAATTAATCAGTATATTAATAGTTGTGATTCTTTTGTAAACAGATAATCTACATGGGGACTACACAGTGAGCCATGGTTCCTCACCAGGAAGGGCGATTGCCAAATGCGATCTTGCTGCTTTCATGTTGGACAGCCTTTCTGACCCAGCCCAACACAACCAGTTGTGTGGCATTGCAACTAATGTTAACGCATAAAGCTTTTGTAAGTAATTTGAACCTTTAATTATTTTATGACATAGTTTTACGTAAGTATATAATTGAAGGTTAACTGCAGTTTGTAGTATAAGCACATTAGTTGTTAGGCATTTGTTGCACAAAATGATAAAATGAATGAATAATGGGAAGATGTTATGTCTGGTTGCACTTTTATCCCCAGAACCATAAACAGATTTCTTATGTCTGGTAGCACGTTTTATCCCCAGAACCATAAACAGATTTACATTAAATATGGTATGTAGAGGTCCATATTAAAGTTGTTGGCAAATTCAGTTTTGATGCTTATCTGTCTGTAATAATGACAGTACTGAGATATATAAAATTTCCCAGAGACTGACTCAGTGTATGAGACATTGCGTATGGATAAAACATCATTGTTTCATGTTATATTTATAAATACATGAATTATGTAATTCATGACGTGTCTTTGTTTTAACAGGATAAATTGGATTTTGTAAGGGAATGATGTTGAACACAACGTTAAGAAAATCGTGGTAATCAAGGCTGAGACATTTCTTCAGAGGTCATCTATTTCAACAGAAAAGGGGTTGCTTGGTTGGTAAAATGAGGCCTTCTTTCAGTTTTTTTTATCATTATTTTATTAAAACTTTAGTTGTAATTTTTATAGAGTGAGATTATTTTTTAGTGTCCCTGCTAAATGTTGGCCCTGTCAGGTGGAAGAATTGGATGTTCCTGTTATTACATGGTCAATAGAGATTTGAACTGTCATCGGAACTGACAAAGCTCCAGCCTAAACACGTTACATGGTCAATAGAGATTTGGACTGTCATTGGAACTGACAAAGCTCCAGCCTAAACACATTAAAAATAAAATTTATTCCAATTACACCAGGTGCTGGAAACGATCTTCATTATTCTAACACCTAATTATAAAGTTTACATTTGTATGTTGAAGTTCATAATAAGTGTTGTGCAATCTGATGGGGAACTCAGAAAGAATCTCACTGTAGTATGAAACATATTAGGTTGTAATATACAGATTTAACAACTAAAATTACGTTGTTTTACAGTAGTACGTTGAGCAACTTTGTGTTGCTGGGTCTTTAAATTAGTACATGATACATAAAGAACTGTTTGATGGCTTCAGATGGGATGGGGTCAGTTGTCATTATTAATGCTGTCATACTTCTCTTATAACAGTAGATAGACCAGAAATTTTCCAATCAGATATAATTTGAATATAAGTATAAGGTTAACTCTTTGGTGTGTTTAGTCTCAAACAGTGACAAAAATAAGTTTGAGAAGAATTCTTCAAATAAAGGAGACAAAAAATGAGGAGTTTCACAAATTGTATTCTTCACCTAATACTGTTACGGTGATTGAATCGAGAAGGGTGAAACATGGGGTACACTTAGGAGAAACATGAAGTGCATAGAACATTCTGGTCAGAGAACCTGAAATGCTAACACAAGTATGCTGTAGGTAAATAAATAAAACATTTGTTACATATATAAAATCATACTTCTGTGCATTCTTCTGCCATTTATGCTGTTTTATTAAAAACATGTCAGTATGTAAGAAGTGACAAATAACCACCCATAGTCTGTAAGAATAAACTACCACTAACCTTTAGTGAGTGTGGTCATCATCAAATTATATGCCTTTTGACATTTTGCAAACATAATTTCTTTCTCCCCCCCCCCCCCCCCCTTTTCACAATTTAATTTTATTCTCCTCTAACAATTCATCAGCCATGTTGCAGACAAACAAAACACTGCACCAACACAAAACAAACTGAATTCTGACAACTCTTTTACACAAAATTACCAGATCATGCGGTGATGTGTTCAACATGCAGCAGCGCTCGTGTGTTGCCAGTTGTGCAGAAATGTCATTCCAGTTACTTGTGAGACCTCTCATTACTTGTATGTTTAACATTTGCTGAAGTATAGCTATAATTAAATATATTTTTTCATGTATGTGGAAGCTGAACAAGTCACTAATGTGTTTGAATTAGAAGGGTTTGGAGGAGGAGGAGGTGGTGGTGGTGTAACTGAATTATGAATATATGTAGTTGATGCTCTAGCAGAAGCTGATTGGGCAGGGATGTTAATATTACTATGTGTGTTTATTTTATTAGATGACACAAACTTGACATTTTGTCTTGATAACACAGGTCCTCCGTAGATTTGTACAGGTTCACATTCTGTGTAGCCAAGTTTGGAGTAAAATCCTTGCTTATCTTTAGTAGAAAGATAAACAGTTTTCATTCCTCGCCTGCAAGGTAAATACACTGTTTATACGATTAGATGGTTGATGTCATGGTTAGCAAACTATTTTTCTTATTGTGTCACAGAATACCCAACATTTTGGCATATGACTTCTAGCATTTATTACCTTCTAAATTCAGGAAGATGAATTGGGTACAATTTTTTTAGGTGCAAATCTAAAAATATCAGGTTCTATTCAAACAGTAATTTCTAAGTTACAAACTATTAAATACAATATATATAGCCTGCACTGTCAAAATGTCTCTTTGTTATTTGTAAGAAAAAGCATTCATAAACTAAAATGTCTGTAATCTTTAATTATTAGATTTACAGAGCATGTGTTCTTAACGTCTTCTTAAAGTAGGCCAGCTCTGTATAAGTTCATTTTGTGCATATTTTGTAAATAATGCATAACAACTTAAACTAGTTTATTATGTTACACATATGTGAGATAATAAGGGAGTGCAAATGACAACTGTCCAAGGCAATGTGAATATTTTAACATAAAAACTACACTTTGGAAAATTATATTAAGCAAAAGCAAGGAGGAAAAAATCATGGAATGAACTACTATTTTCACTGCATTCTTAAGACTGTAACAGGTAAAAACATTAATATTTTATGGTGCTGATTGGAACCAAAGTTGTCTTGTAATTGAAGATATGGCATTTGACACACTTGGGATCATTTGTATGTGTCAGAGCTGCATATGTAGGAACTTGTTTTTAGTGTGAAAGGAATAATAATGAAAAGAGTTTTATTTTATCAACAAAGAATGTGTAATATTTTTATTTGTTTCAATGCACGGATAAAAGTGAGTATATGTTAAAGTCAATTTAAAGTTTAGAGTGCATGTAAATGATTTACCTTTTTGCATGATCTTCAGTTTTGGCCATGAGGAATTTACCAAGTCCTTTTCCTCTGTGTTTAGGGTGAATGAGAACTGAAAGAAGATTGTTAAAAATTGTAAGCTGTGCTGTTGCAAAGGTGAAGAAGTTTTCATTTTTGTAAATGGAGTTCAGCTGAAAGAAAATTATGAACTTATTGTAAGCACTAATCAAACAGGTAAGTGTGAAAATTAAAATTTTCACTGACTGAAAAACAAGTGTAAATTCTAAAACTATTAAGAAAGATAATCAGAACTTAAACCTGATTCAATGAAACATCCCAAAGGCAGGCTAGGTATTGGTGTTATTTTGCTGTGACCAATGACTTCATGGGATTGAACTAGAACAAGGCATGTTGGAAAATTGTCACAGGACATCTTTAATGTTCTCAGTCTGAAAAGAAGTGATAGTTATATATAATATTGCAGTATATGAATATAAAGCCATGCAAAGTCCATACACAATCCCTCCTTTGATTCAAACTGTGGAAATGGTTTTTCTCTTTATGACAGTTGAATGAAGAACAATAAGCTCAAATAGATTTACATTTTTAGCTTTCATAGATTATGCAGAAGCCTGAACTGAATGACATCCATAAATTACGAATTCCTATCCCACCATTAAAAACGGGCATCAATACTGATCGACGGTCCACATAACTATTGCATCAAACGATACGAAAACCTTACATCGAAGCTATATACCTTGAGCTACTGACAGTATTGTTAAAATAAGCTATAAACAGTACCTTATAGTTTTACTCCTGGGCCATTCCATGTTTATTAAATCGCAACATTTGTCCATGAACTGAGGATAATGGTGAATTTCAAGAACGTCCATTAGTTCAGACATATTGAAATTACGTGTTCACGTCATAAAAGGGCCCAAAATTTCCTTCTATACTGCTTAAACATTTTAAAATTACGCAATGAAATTCTTTCTACAACATCTACGATACATGTAATTGTTATGACAGCCATCCTAACCCTATAAGGTATTCTCTGTGGTCCTAACCACGGATTACCAGAATAAATTTCCCTGCTGCAGTAATTTAATGACCATTCCTTTTTAACTGGCATCGTTCACACGTATAATATATTTCACACACGCAATTTTCATTTAAACTGTCATACTTTGTGTCCATTCAGCCACGGTTTTTACCTTGCTTCTGTCTATTAAAATTCGTCCAATATTTCTCACCTCATTCTATTTGTTCCGTTGCTTGTACCTGCTCGTTGGCGGGAGAATACGTCAAGTTCGTAGCACGAAATTCTATCATTAAAATCTATTAGAGGAAAACACTGATATAGTGCATTGACGTAGAATAAAGAAGTACACATTGTTTGAAGGGTGCGATGAATTGTTTAGATTTAAATCGCTTTGTAAAAGAAGTTGACCTCTTGAAGGTGGCTGCAGAAATCCTGGAAGGTTCAGATGCTAACGGAACTTCATTATGTTATAAAGCTATGGTACAAGTAGAGGAAATGAAGGAAGGGCTTCAGACCCTGAAGATTCTTGTAGATGAGCAGAAGGCCCAAATAGAGACGTGCAAGGTATAGTGGCAGTTTGTAACATTAAAGTAGTAGATGGGCCATAAATGTAGTTAAGTTCAGTAATACTGTCAGTATTTTTCATTACTTTCTGTATATGAGTGCTTATAGTGACTGTAATTTTACCACTTAGGTGTTTACAGCAGTGAGAATTTGGATTGTATTCTTCTGTATAATGCTGTATAGTCTATTTAGATAATGAGCAGTGTTTCATAGAAACTGGTTGTCTCCATCTGTAGGGTACAAATGCCACTTCTTCTTCTGCAGACTACAAGGTGTTGTAACTGGTAGATTTCTGGTATTGCTGTTGGTTGAGTTTGTATTGGATCCTCACATTGACAACATGAAGTGTGCACTGATATGGGTGTTCTGAAAATGGTGTTTGAATTCATTTCCTTTGTTGATGCTGAAAGCAGGCTGGTATAGACTTGTATTCAGGTATTACCTGTTTCAAATCTTAGCCAGATGATGCACTGGTTTTTCATGGTTGTATTTACTCTGCAGCCCAGTATCAAGATAGAATCTGAGATAGGCCATGACCACCTCCTTCCAAATCTTCTTAGAGTTTATGATTATCTTCACATTTCAAATGATATATAACCCCTGCAGCTAAAACAACATTGTTAAATAGCCTAAGAATCTTTGAAGTCTATTAATACCACTAAAGATCTATGTTTGTGATTCCAGGAACTTCTTGCTACTGTACACCATATTGGAAAGGTAACAGAACATATCGAAAGTAATTTACCAGGAAGGTATGTCTACAGTGTTGAAGATGCAGTTGGCACAGAAAAGGTAAGAACACTATGAAATCCAAAAAGGTGATGTCATGTTATGAAAATTATAACAAGTAATTTTCAGTTAACTGTTGGTAAGTTAATTTTGATTTGTCACACAACGCCTGAAAGTATACATTTTATTCTTATCTGTGGTTAAAGATGAGTCAAGTAGGAAAAATCTGAGTTACAAGTGATGGAACATAGGTTTGTCATCTGTCTGTGTACATAGGTGTCAGAAAGGAATATGGAGTACCTTTCCCCCTGTCAAGGACCTTGGACTGGAATGTCACCATATTATTGTGCATCTTCAAATAAACATACAGTGCAGTCACCTCGTCCATACATCATGTATTTGAAACTTGAAGAATTTGATAAGATACCAAAGTAAGTTTAATATAGGTCAGCTGTGCTTTGCCTGGCATAATTATAATTCATGAGGAAAAGACATATTGTTAAAGGCACTTTGGTGGTTGTGTGTGTTGCCTGAAAATTTCAAGCCAGTAATTACATGTTTCAGAAAGAAAAACCATCTTCATGTTATACATTATGGTATGCATTATGCAATTTTCAGTATTTAACTATGTACTTGAATGTCTTTTATTGTATGTTGTCTCTCTCCAAACTTCTCAAAAAATATTCTTTATGCCTGTTTGACTAAACATTCCATTGTGAGATTATGCTATGCCTAAAGCAATAAGTAATTAGTGTTGAAATTCTGGCATTTATTTTCATCTTATATGACATGATAGGAAACTAAACATAACATACTGCTACTGATATAAAATAAATGGTTAAATGAAAAGAAAATTTATACATATTCATTATGTTATATTTTTGAAATGAAACAGAATAAACGTGGAATTCATCTACATATGGAAGTACAAAGGCATACAGAAACATAATCAAACATTGTTAGCTTAACAGATATAACTAAACCACACTGATGATTATAACAGATCATAATCAGTTTAAATGTATCACAGTATTATATCACAACTTTTTAATAGCTTGACCCAAGTGAAACTCCTGAAAATGGCTAATTGAAATTGTTGGAACAAGTACAGTATTGTAACTTAATTTTAATTAAATTAAGTTTTATGGAATGCTCCGTCAGTTTTTGTATTTGATACTGATGGATATCATATTAATCAATTTGTATCTTCTATTACACACAAAGTATACTTAGAGTATGTTTAGGAAAGTAAGATGTCATTGATCTTCCCAGAATTTATTATCATATCAGTTAATTGTTAATTAATTTGATCAATAAACTGTAATAATCTCTTCATGCAGATACATGAAAGGCAGATTGACTTACGAGATGGTGAACAATTTTATTGATTCCTTCAACATGGCAATGGAGAAGAAATATCAGCTTTTCAGTTGTCCTAGAAATACCCTCAAGGGAAAGAAGTTGATCGAATATGATACATTCAAGAAACAGGAAACCAGAGAAACAATAGAAAAAGGTAACCCACTATGTAGTGTCATACAAGGTATTGCATAATTATACGGAGTAAGACTGTGTCTACATCTGGAATGAGGCTTAAGTTGGTCCTCATCTGAAAAAGAGTAAAAGGAAACTGAAGACAAAATAATTTGGAAGTAGGTTCAGGTACCATATAAGCCCAAGTTTAGGTAACCTCTTCATAAAAATGAACACAGTTAAAAGAGAAAAGATTTTTACACAGAAAAGTTATTAAACATAAGATTTTATTGCCATGACTGTGATAAAAACTAATCTGGGCCAAATTTGAGTTGCTTACTCAATATGTAACGGACATAATGGTATATGTTCTAAACAAATTTTGCTTAGTGGGCTGTGTTTTCCTTACACCTTATCCCTGTGATTCCTAATTACTAATATTTCACTTTATCCTGTCTGATTGCAGGAATTTATTTTTGTGTTATGGACGACCTCAAGACACTTGGCAACATAAAAATGGTTAAAGCATCATACAACTTGCTGAACATTCTGCGGAACACTCGACGCATGCGAGAAATACGTACTCCTGGAGTAGTTCGTTTTGCTGTTTCTAACTGAACAGGTAACGTGACTCATCTCATTGATAGTATGTAGTGTTGAATGGGGTGAATTTTCTTATTTTCCCCACATATGATCAACTTATTATTAATATTATTCCATCTATTCACCTCCTTTGCAATAATCAGAACAAAAACAGCAGGTCAAAAATAGCATTATGTCTTGTGTGAACATAACATTCTTTATAATTACTAAAACTTCTTTATTATCTCCATACATTTGGGAATGTAATGCCACTTAAATCTTCCTGTAAGTCAGTTAGATCATTAGGTATCAAATATGATCATAAATTAATTAAACAGCAGTGCACATATAATGTTTTGCAACCATAAAAACTGGTTTTGGGCCCCTAGCAATCAGATGGAAATACCGAGAGAAAAAACATCTAAAGTAAAAGCAGCCGAAGAAGAAATTATCTTAAATTTCTTTGGTTCTGAAAAGTTTAATGCACTACATATGTAGCAGCTTATATATATTACATACCACTAAAGACTAGACATTTATGATTGGGTATATTACCATACATTAAGAAAATATTCCCTGATAGTCGACCATCAGTTACACAATGCTGAATCTTATTTACATATTAAATGTCAAAGAATATAAGTCATAAAATATATCATCTGCTGTATATAATATTTGCTTCAGTTTCACTTTTTTTTTTCCAATTCCAGTAAATTCACTTAATATTTTATTAAGGGGAAACAACCAATACTATGTTTTGGACTAAAGTCAGATACACCATTACTATCTTCTGTATTTGAATGACCATTCCATAACACACTGAACATTCCTTCAGTGATTGAGTAAGCTTCTACATACATATTGCCATCTTCATCAGTGGAGAATGAGTAAATGACATTGTGCACAAGACAAGTGTTGGATGTGTTGTGGCAAAAGTAGCCAAGAGTCTCAAACCTTGAATTCCGGCCATCGACGTCAGTAACACTGAAATGTGGAGAAAATCGAACAAGTTCCCTGAAGTACGTGCCTGAAAGGAGCATAAATTCTTGTTAGTGATAGGTGATCAAAAAGAAGAAGCATCCAGAGTTTCTTGTATCTAACATCATTGCTGTTTCGCAGATAAAAAGTTCATTTCTTAGGAGCAATTTGTTATTTATTATTGGCTTCCAAGGCCTGTAGTTTCAGAGTTTCTATTGGGCATTCTCTACTTCTATAATAGTTCACCGCCCTTCTACTTGATGTGCCGCTTTTCTGTTGGTTGGGATGTTAGAATTTAGGTGTACAAAATGACAGTGGAATTCAAATTAAGTGGAAAAGCCAAAAACTTGTGATCTCTACCTACAGATGATGACATTTGGGTGGAACTTTTACATTTGAGGGCCACATGATTTGATTTCCTGCTTCATATTCAGGAGGCCCTAGATTTAAATCTCTCCCTGGTGACCAGCTATCTTGACTGAAGTTTTTTGTGGTATTCTTCAGCCTCTCCAGATGGGATGTTATCTTAAATTAGGCCACTACTGTTTCTTTCTATATTTTCTCCAATTCATCAATCATGGCTGGTCATACCATTTGACACTTTACAGTCTGAGCTACTGACTGTTATTAAGTAAACTATAAATAAATAAAAATACTGGAACCGAGATGTAAAATGGCAGGTGACGAACAAAGGGAAAGGAAAGATAACATGGACAGTAGTGGCAGATTTGGAAATGTGGAGGGGTAGGTAAGGATCAAAACTTACATCATGCACAATCACCAGTGATAATGAAAAGTTAAATATGATATAACACATACCAGTGAGGTATATCCATTCACCATGTGGCATAGCACAGTTAAAAGCTATGCCTGGTGGAAGTGCTGCTTCTGGCATGATGAACCACTTATCAGAACTTGGGTCGTAGAAGTATACTTGAGGTCCGAATACAAATATCTGGCCTTTGTATGCACAGCACGCTGCAGAGTATAAGTTATGGGGCAACGAGGCACAACGACTCCAGCATTCTAAACATAATGAAGTGTCAGGCCATTACAATGGGACAGTACTTTCACTGGTACATTAACATTTATAATCATTTAACTATTTCAGTTTCTGGCCATGGGCTGGATGGCTGGGGTTCAATTCCTGACAGCAGTGCAGGACCACCTGGCCTCCTATCCTTTGGTATGAGGAGTAAAGTGAATGGAGCAATAACCTCATCACACCTCCATCTAATGCTAGCCACCTGGCCTCCTATCCTTCGGTATGAGAAGTAAAGTGAATGGAGCAAGAACCTCATCACACCTCCATCTAATGCTAAGATCTAGAATATGTGGAGCTCTATCTCCATGTCCTCTGTACACTTGCATGGTGCCCTCCATAGGCACAAGGACAGTTTTATTTTAAACAGTATACCATTAATCCATTTGTTAACTGACTTTGGTCATACAGTAGTAATTGCACTTGAAATGTTGATCTATTTAAGGACATTTATATTCATATTTTAATAAATTTTGAGGAGTTTGTAATTGCAATAAAATTGTTGAATGTGAACAGGTAACAAGGATTCGATTTGTGACAGGGGTGCTAGAATGATTGCTTTCAACAATCTCCAGAATGGCTGTAGGGTCCACTGAGTCTACTATCCATTGCTTAGTAGTAGCATCACTTAAAAAAAACTTTTTGTCCAAGTAGTACTTATATGGTGAAGTATATGAAAAAAACAATATCTTTTACACAGGTGTCACTTACTTGTCCCAACATTGTACTTTTCAACAGAATCCATTATAACACGATGTCGACCAAAACCGCCAATGATATATATGTCATCTTCCAGGCAGCAGACTGAGTGATGTCTCCGTGGGGTAGCTATGCTGAAACACCATACAGATCACTTGAAAACTTCCTATTTTACTAAGGGTAGTAAAGATTTACTGCAATAAAGTTGTGTTTATCGTGATAAAATGTGGAACAGTATCATAAAATAAGTGTCAATAATTCCTTTAGAAGTATGGTGAAATTCAAGTATATGCAAACAACAATAAGTATTACTGAATGATTAAAATACCAATAATACACTGTCCATGTGATAGCTCCAATGCACTTCCAATTATATATTTCTTTAAGATTTGTCTTATTGTTATTCATCTCAGTCTTCTCATTGGGCATATTCCCAGAAGTTTGTCTGCCAGACTGCAACGTGCAGTTTGTTGGTACTTTGTTTCTGGTGCCAGAAATCTAAACAGGTTGAACCATAGGTTCTCTTAGTAGGTAGTTAATCACACTAAATAATGCTGCTAATGCTGTGAATACATATGGTACCTTGTTTCAAAGTTCCACATCTCCCTGATTAGATCATATTTCCAAATAGATTGATTCCAATTGCCATAACCTAGCAAATATTCACCACCAATCATGTACAAATCTTGTCCTGTAAAAAAGGTATTAAGTAATGAAGTATTGCAATTTTGTTACTTCAGTCAAACTCTTATTTTTGAGATATGTTTACAAAACATTAAAGTACTGCAGTGGTGGTGCTGAATCTTCTAAAAACAGGATTATGAAAAATACAAAAATAGTTGGGCGTTACACTCAAGATCGGGTCTTATATGTGCATAGATATAAAAAAAAATATTTTTTTTTTTTTTTGGACTGGAAGGTGAGATTAATGCATCATGTAGATGGCTGATAAAATTTAAGGAACAATATGGTATTCATGAAATTGTTGTGCAGGGAGAATGCCCTAGTGTAGTGCTGCAGAAGCTAATTCCTTTTGATAAATAAATATATATATGCTGCAGGAATATAAAGTGTTTAACCAAAATAATGCAACCAGGGGCACTTTTCTGTACTAACTTCAGGGTAGATTTTGGAGTAGTGTCTAAGCTATAATTTGTTTTGCATAAGTTAATGTTATCTTACTACATGCAAGGAGGGTAAACAATGAAGCCCTTTACTATAGAATCCTTCCCCTTTACTGACTTTATTAGTTTTTATATAGGGAATTACCTTTGAAAATAACCTTATAACCTGTTGGTTCAAGAGGTCCCTCATTGGCTTTTGACAAATGAAGAAACGGTACAAGGTGCTGTGTTGTTCCTTCTTGGAAATATATGAGGTATGGTTTACCATCGACTGTAACTTTCTCACATCCAATTTCATCATTTGAATCTCTTTGTCGGAAGCCTGTTCGATCCCTTTTATGGCCAACTATGCATGGAAACAGTGGTAATGCTCGTGATGGTGTTGAAAGTAATCGTCTTGCAATTGCAATTGTTCCAGTACTGAATTGAACATGATCCTTATCATGGATATCGTCCATCGCAATACTTGTTTCTACTGCTAATTCACTGTCGCAGACAGGAGTTATGGCTTCCTCTACGGAAATACGACAAAAGCAACAGTTGTTGAGGACTTTAACTCTTTCGTCATACAACTGAACTTTAGGTTTCTTGGATGAACACTTGCACTGTTCGGCTTTCTTTTGCTTTGACATGGAATCCTCTTCTTTATCAAGTAATATCTTTCCATCTGCATCAAGAGAATCTCTTGAAGTTTGAGCTTCAGATTCAGCAATACAGAACATTTCTTCTGGATTTTTTCCTTCCTTGATACATATGATACATTGTAAAATCTGTACATAGTCTGTGTTCTCACTAATAATGGGGTACAGAAGCATTGTTTTAATATCTGACAATGGAATATCAGCAAACCGAATACAGTCTAAAATCCTGAGAACACATTCTTTTCTTTCTTCCAGTTTGTCTTGTAACCAACAAAGCCCTGCTTCAAACACTTCAAATTCTCCTTCTGTAGTGTTCAGTCCATCATTTCCAAGATATTTCTGTAAGTAGCCAACTGGGAGTTCAAGGAAAGCATCAGTTTCTCTTACATGTGAAAACTCCCACAGTGCCAATGCTTGAGCCTTGTGATACAGTGTAATTAGATCTAGTTCTTCAGCAGTTACCATTGTTTGGAGGCAAGTTAATATAGTAAGCCACTGGTGAACAATCATCTCAACACATATTTTCTGAATGGATTCAAATTGAAGCATACTTGAAGCTTGAAGAACTGACAGTATATCATTTGATTTCAAGATATCTACCTTCTTTCTGTTAACTGACTGAAGTAGAACTGCCATTGCTTCAGCATCCACACCCTGCAAGACATACACTTAACATAATTGTAAAGACCTGTAACCATTTTTGCAATAGAACTGTATAATAAGACTGCTGGACTAAATTTAAATAAAACAAATTAATTTATGAATTATGTTAAATTGTATTTTGCAGGTTCATACTCAACATTAAATGTAATGGTACATGAATAACAAGGTTTAATTTTGAATGACTTGGGGTATATTAAATTTTTGCATGCCTATTTCTTGACCTTGTGCTCAGGAATTGAGAATTCCTCTTCTGCAAGGTCCTGAGATTTCAATTTGGAGCCATGAGGCATAATGAATGCTTTGTGTACATAGTCATCCTCTACCTGTGCCTATCATAAAAATTGTTTACAAACTGGTAACATGTTTTACTTGTTTGATGTTCCACAGTGCTTCTCTTGTTTCTGTTTGCAGTGAATGTCGGTGACATTGGAAATAAGATGAGGATTGAGTTTTATTGTGGCAAGATACTATGATCACTGAGTAGTTTGAAATCTGACTTTTCATAATTTATGAAGTTGGGGACCTTGCTGCTTCATTCTAGTTAATTTGGGTTAGGTCAGGTCAGGTTTTGACTCGGATTTAACAATACAATACAAAAAAAGCTGGAGATGGCTGTCTTCTGGGTTGTTATGCAATATAGTCTGGGGCCCTGATGATGGAGGCAGTAAGTGCCTCTGCAACATCAGTAAGTAAACTTCCACCAGACTACCCAGAATACTGCCATTTTCTCTCACTGCTGTGAAACCCTCAAATCAAATCAAAAAAGAAAAGTCGCTGTTTTCAAGTGTTAAATGAATATGAGTTCTACAACAGCTTGGTTAAAGTTTGTATTTAAGATATTATTTTAAGGGATATGTATGAATTAACCAAATGCATATACAGTTCCATGACAACTTTAGTGCACCGATTGCTCATCTTAAACATCTCAAAAAAATATAGAAACTACAAAATCTACAAGCCTTTATTTCGATAGTAGTTTTCTCCCTTTCAATGAAATTGTTTCCGAACATAGCCTGAAAGTACGGGCTATATTCTGCCAGTAGTCTTCGACGACAAGGAAAAGTGGAATCACCAACTTTCAGTATAACATCGTAAGATCCTGTTATTTTCTGTGCCATGTCGGTGGTATGTTATAAAACATAGCATAAACTCATTCTTTTCCCTTAAACATAGACCACGCAATCATCTCTCGACGAACAACATAACCTTGTAACTCTGCAAGTTGACAGCATACTTGGGGACATCTTGCCACGATTCACAAGAACTACTTTTATTTACATAAGTTCACTGAGGGATTCGGTAATGTTATGGCCTTTTAATTTCATGTTATCTGTCAAATAAGTATTGTCACATTGCAATTTGAAGTGTAATCTACATGCGATACTGGAAGAACAAAGTTAATAAGTAGGACTTCAGGTTTTCATAGCGGTGAGTCTGAAATTGGCTGTCTTCAGGATTGTTGCTCCATGTGCTCTGGTATTTTTCCCCTCCAATTTCCAGAGTTAATAAATTATGTGCCCAATTACTGACTGCATCTGCTAAAGACAGCTGTCAGGCATTTGTACAATCATTTTTATTGCTATAATCTGCCTTTTTCCGAATTATTTGTGAACCAACCTAGCAAACAAGCAAAGATTATTTTTATCTGTATCTCTCACTGATGATGGCAGGCTGAAAACGATCCAATGAAATGAAAGTGTATGAAATTCGAAGTGGTAGAAGGGACGTGTCTGTCCTTATCTATGTTATCACGGTAATCCGCTAATTCTTCCTTGCTCGCTGATAGTTAAACTGTGCTGTTGGAAAGCGAGAAGTGAGGCAGTTTTCGTACGCAATAAACATGTATGAAATAGCGTGCTAGTAATCCGTGCTTCATTCTTCGTTCCGCTTAGTGTATGTACCGTGTTTCCCAAGATTAGTTTCTACAAGCAGAAAATGTGTTTTTAGGTATCTCTTTCCAATATTGTGAACTCTATAATAACTCATTGGTAAAATAACTTAATTTTTCGTTGGAAAAGTTCGTGACAAGTGGCATATTTTACGCCTGGTTATTTCAGAATAGACCGTGAGAGGACGAGGGAAACTGCCGGCTAAGACATGTTTTAACCCATTTGTCAGTGCATGGTTTTCACCACAAGAACTTTGTTATTAAATGGTATCACATCCTGGGATACAAGTTTACCTACACTCTGTGTGGACAGGCATGCTGAAGATACCACATTACCGTATACGTGGAATTAACCCCCAAACTTGCAGATTACAGGAAGGAGACTTGAACCCTCAGGATAGAAGAGGCAGAGGATCCCCTCTCAGCATGACAATTGTGAGTACCAAAAATCAAGCCCATCAGTAGCCCACAGTGAAGACATAAATTACGCACACTGCACACATCTTATTATATGCATGTACATCCTCTATAGAACTGACTGAAAGAAGGACGTATTAGAACATGTTCCATGCACTGGATGACTGCTTTAGTCTATAAACTGGTTTCTTGATTAAACAGTCTTGTTTTTCAGATGAGATACATTATCATATCTTTTTCAACAGTCCTCAAACTCTGTAGTTTTGGAAACCTGTCATGGTGTCTGAATGCAATGAAGTCTTCTCAGGTTTCAGAAACTGTCTCTGCCTTTATCATTAGGGGTTGAAATGAATGATATGACTGCCCATTGTATTTACACCCACAGTTAACTGTCTTGGCACACTGTCCTTGCATGAGATCTGACCAGTAGGGAACAGTAATTGGAATTAGGCAGTCAGTCATCATATCCATGTTGGTTAACCTGGACAGTACATGTGTGGGACTTTATGGCCCATGTCATCTGTGACTAGTCTTTAGAATTTTACATTCTTTTGGTGGAATGTCATAGTTCTTATGTTGAACCTTGCCAGAAGCCAACTTATCCTGCTTTGGACGTTACCTCTATGGTTGAAGGACTGGTTGATGTCTGCTATACTGTAACCATACTGTGTGAAGGTCATCTTCAGATGTTGGATTTCTCTATCAAGACTTTGTGTTATTGGATGAGTGAAGAGAACATCACATTTTTTAGAAGTCTTATCAACCAAAGTGTTTTCCTGGAACATTGTCCTCATGATTGGCATGGGATTGTTGTACCTCAAATAGAGGAACAGCATGCTCTTTTTTGTAACATATACTAGTACATACTTAGCCACAAGTCCCTCACATCATGCTGCAGGAGTGTTGTTATTTTTGCAGAATTATTGTGTGAATGCACATGGTGCACTGGGTACCTCCTGAATACAAGTCTACAGTTACATTAGTGTTCTTGATGTTAATAAATGTTGGCAGTACAAGGTTTAATAAATAAACAAATCAATTTAGAACATTTTTTTGAGGACTGAAAGTCCACATAACCCATTCATTTTAATTTATTAAACACTTTCCATCAGTGAATAAGAACAATAAATTAGTCATATTTATGAAAGTAAACATATTAGTGACAGAAAACTGTAACTGACAGTTAAATGGATAATAACACAAGAATTTCAAACTGGTCTCCAAAAATATTACTAATCCAATGTGAAAATTCGAGCAGCTATGTCATCAATAAGCCAGTCAATTCCTTCAAGCAGATTTTGTCCTGTTATGGCACTGCACCATACAATCTGCCAGTGATGAGTCTTGATTGATTCCAGTTCCAGTACCTAAGAAATAAAACATGATTTGCTTCAGGACCACCACCAGAGAATGAAATAAAGGTGGGAAAATCAGAATATTTAACAAATAACTGGTAGTTTCTTTTCTTGAATAAAAATATTCCACTGCTAACTACATTCTCTAGAACATGTGGTATATCACAGTAATATATTTTATATCAAGAAACACTTATTGTTAATACTTTATTTCAGACACAAGAACAAGCATGACACTGTTGTGAAACTTTGAGGTTATATGCTGCAAATTTAACTTAGAACCTCTGATAATGCTTTCATTAAAAACCAAAGAATTATGCAGGTTCCTCTTGGTAATTAACTTACATCTCTGATTTCTTCTGCAAGTAATGCTCCTGGCAAATCTTGCTTATTAGAAAAGACCAATAATGTTGCTCCAGCCAATCTCTGAAAAAAACAAAGCAAAAAAACTGCTGGAAGTGTGCAGCTGCAGGACAATATTTCAAACACAAATGTATTGAGAGGCTTGTTACTGCTCCTGTAAAATAATCATATTCAATTGCATAATTTGTTTAAACACTTACCTCTTCTTTGAGAAGAGCATGCAATTCTTTTCTACAATCATCCAGTCTTCTCTTGTCAGCACTATCAACTACCCAGATCAGTCCATCTGTACTTTCAAAGTAGTTTTTCCAATAAGAGCGAAGCGACTTTTGGCCTCCAACATCCCAGACATTTAATTTGTATCTGAAAAGAAATTACATTAACTGTCATGTACTCCACAAACAATGATGAGCTTTAGTATTCCAAATTCAGTCAAGGGTCAGATATTAATGTTACAACATGCCAAGTGCTCAGACCTATCACACACATCAAGGGTGAGATAAGTGTCATGCATAGTGGTATGTCCCTTCTTGCCATAATTTAACAAAAGGTATTTTCACTATTGACATAAAATATAATACCCTCTGTGTTCAAGGGTTTTAATATTAAACCCTAAAGTTGGTGAAATTGTATCAGTTTCTTCTCCATTGAATTTCTTCAAAATAGTGGTTTTTCCAGCGTTGTCCAAACCCCTGGCATTTTTAGTTAAGGAACTTTCAAAATATTTTTACAATATGTTTAATGTCACATTACAGCATTGAAATGAAAAAGGATACAACATCAGTATTCTGATTTCTTTTTCTTTAATTTTCATTTTCTTCAGAACAGTCAAAAAACCCATATTATTGTCAAATGTACACTGTTGTATGATTTATATGCACAATACACGAATTTCGCAACAGCTTTGGTTTCTTAAATGATATATCGCGCAATTCCAAATATCTCATGCACTCACTACGTTTGGAGAATAAGGAAATTAAACGGAAGGTTTACACACGATTTTCACAAGTTCCATGGCATCCTCACAACAAATTCTATATCATGTGATACTAACAATCACTTTTCTGATCGTAAAGTTAGGTCATCTTTGGAAGGAAGGCGTCTACACATACATGTACGACGGTTCTTAGGTTATCTATTGCACAGAATATCAACAGTTTGGAGAGCAATGGCGTCTAGTGGTTCAGCTTATAGTAGTGATGCTCCTGGTGATTTTCATTTAACGTCTTCAATAGAAGACAGTGGCAGTAGATTTAGTACTTCTGTCGAAAAGTGTCCTTTATGCAGTTATAACAGGCGGACATTTTACTGCAAACAATGCATTCAGGAAGGAAGTTTTATTCATTCTAATAACCATTATGCTGAGAGGTACAGAAACGCAAAATATTACTGCATCCATTTAGTGTCATAGTATATATTGCTGAATGGTGTTTAATATATAGCGTAAGTGGAGTAGAATCATTGTGATTGTGATTTTTAAGTGGACGTATTCAGTTTTATCTCTTTTGAGGCCTGAAGGAATCTTGTTTTCGTTTTAATTTTTTGTCATGTAGGTTAAGTTGTTACTTGGGCTTATGTTTTGGCGTTTCATTAGATTTTCCGATGGTTATCTGCGCAGAAATATAATTTTTGAAGGAACTTCCACATAAAATAAGTGCATTTGATCACATATCATAACTTGTTTTCACACACTTTAATACCAAACTTGTTGACGTCATTTCATTTCTGCAGTGAATCTTCCCACTTCAACTGAAAATTTCGTGTGTTACAGTACCAACAAGCTTAAACAAGTCCAATATTCAAAGGGAATGTAATTTGTGTAATAGTGTTGCAGTATAACAAAATGTGTACACCAACTGAAAATTGCATGTGTTACAGTACCAACAAGTTTAAACAAGTCCAATATTCAAAGGGAAGGTAATTTGTGTAACAGTGTTGCAGTATAACAAAATGTGTACATAGATTTAATTGTCTTTTAAGGTTTGCTGAGAAGCAATTACATCATATGAGGTTGCATAATGATAGGAGGCAGCTGCAGGAACTGTGTGACATCTTCCTTCAGAGGAATCTGCACTTGGATCAGTTGGTGTGTATTGTTATTTAAAATATGGTTGAAATTAATACTCATGTTCCCCCTTTTTCCCCACTGTATGCTAATGATCAGCAAATGGGTTTTCAGTTAGCTGTGTTTTCATTCCTGAGGTCTAATTGTTTCAGAATATTTTAATTAAAATAATTTACATTGTTTATCAATAATCTTCCAGCGGACAGAAATTGATGCTTGCCATGAACGAATAGCACTGCTACGTATGATAATACAAGAGAAGAGGAAACATCTTGAAGAAGGTGAGGTTCATGAAAATAATCCTTGTTTCATGTGTGTGTGTGTGTGTGGTAGTATCCTTGTTTCATGTGTGTGTGTGGGGTAGTAGTGGTGGTGGTGTTTTTTTAAAAAGATTAGTTCAATCTGAAGTGGTGGTGGTGTTTTTTTTAAAAAGATTAGTTCAATCTGAATAGTATAGCTTTCTCACTTATGACAGGCATCTAATACATCCATAATTTCACAAATAATTTTATACTTATGCCTCTTTGACAAGTACAGTCTTCATCCAAATCCAGATCACTGTTTTCCTTTCTTACCACATGCTGTAGATTTCTTGTATCACTTACCCAAACAGGAGAGAGACCGACCCTCAAGGTATAAGCTGATTTGGCAGGAACTTGTGTTATTACTTTGCATCTCATATGTATAATGACTATTTATTTCCTTTATTATATAATGGAAAAATGTTATGCACAATACACACACTTGTATATACTATTAACAGACTTATATTACACAATTTTACTAGCACTAGTTTGTTGGGTATCCATTTCAGTACTTGCCTCAGAGTGTGAAAATATGGACTTAGCATCAGACCAAGTCTGAAGGTGGCATGCATTTTAACAGTACGGAACAAACTCTCTTAAGATTCAGAGGGGAAAGTTGGATTCTGCTCCTAATTTTATTGTAATTTTAATGTTGACACCTTCTTACACATTGTAATCACCTCTGATTTATAACGTGCTTGCCCCCCTTTTCTTAACAGTGTATATTGGGTCAGACCTCTTCTGAAATTTGAGGTTTTCACATTGGTGACCTTAATTTTTCATATTATAAATCTTTTTGTCGGTGGGTGGGAGAATTGTTTTTGATGCACTATCTCATCTATGACAAGCAGATTGTATTGTATCGGCAGTGAAGGAGTAACATTTTTGATGTTGATTTTTGTAGATAAACCAAAAATTGCAAATATGATAAAACAAAGCCAGGATCGAAGAGCTAGACTACCACGGTATGAAGAGCACGTGAATAAAATGGAGCGACGTACAAGTCTGATGGGAATCCATGCAAATGAAACAGCTCTTGCGATACAGAAAGAGCAGCAGGAACTGAAGGACATGATCCGAGCCAGCATACAGCAACTTGTTCAGTACATCTTCCCTATCATACCAGTGCAGCCAGTACCCAGGTTAGAACACTTGTTTAGTACACTTCCCTATCATACCAGTGCAGCCAGAATTTTTGTGCTCTCTTCGTACTTACACAGCAGATGAATGTGTAATGGTTGAGTCTTGTGATCTTCCACATGTTTTGTTTCACAAACATTGGATGGATTTTGACTGGATTTGGTACATGAAGTCTGCATTGAAAGTTGGTGGACAGATTTTATTTTGGTCCCTACCATAATCTGTAGAAATACATTGAACTTCACATAATTTCTGTAAAACTGATTACTGAAAAAAAATGTTCATTGTGTGAAATATACATATCAGTAATACATAAAGTAAAGTAAAGCTGTCTCACTATACGCCATGTAGGTGCTTGGGGGGGGAGAGGCAGTATAGCTCCTACTCATTCTTGACCTCAGCACTAGAAGGGGGTGATTGGTCAGCATCATGCCCCAGCCATGGTTTACCCCCGGGGAAGGACCCCAGAACCCATTGGATAGCAGGCTAGGTGGGCCCCAGAAGCTAGAGGAAAACTTCTCTTCCCCCGTTGGGGATCGAACCCCAGTCATCCGGTCACTATACTGGCTGAGCTATGCTGGCCCATATCAGTAATACACATGATTTTTATTTGAAACATTTTGATATGGTGTGGCTTTAACAAAATATAAGGTGAGAAAGACTAAATTTATTATAATATGTGTTTATAGTTTAGATGCGTCATGTTTGTGTTCAAAATTCAAATATATATTTATTATTCAAGTCTATACACAAA